AAAAAAAGAGTTTGGTGGTTTCTTACAAAATGAAACATACTTTTTTTTTTTTGGAGTCAGAGTCTCACTCTGTCACCCAGGCTGGAGTGCAGTGGCATACTCATGGCCATCCCCCCCAGCATTGATCTGCTGGGCTCAGGTGATCCTTCTGTGCCTCAGTCTTCCAAGTAGCCGGAACTACAGGTGCACGCTACCACGCCTGGATAATTTTATATATATAGTAGAAACAAGGTCTCACCAAGGTACCCAGGTTGGTCTCGAACCCCTGGGCTCAGGCAATCCTCTCACCTCGGCCTCCCAAAGTACTAGGATTATAGGCTTGAGTCACCACACCCGGCCCATACTCTTGCCATACAATCCAGCAATCATATTCATTGGTATTTACCCAGAGCATTTTAAAATATGTCTGCACAAAAACCTGAACATGGATATTTATAGAAGTTTTATGTATAATTGCCAAAACTTGGAAGCAACCAAGATGTCCTTCAGTTGATGAGTTGATAAACAAACTGGTACATAAAAAAGGAATAATATTCAGACCTAAAAAGAAATGAGCTAACAAGCCATGAAAAGACATGGAAGAACCTTAAATGCATATAACTAAGAAGCCAATCTGAAAAGTTTACATACTGTATGATTCCAAGTATATTACATTCTGGAAAAGATAAAACAATGAAGACAGTAAACAGATTAGTGGTTGCCAGGAGGTGAGTGGGGAGGCAAAGCACAGAGGATTTGTAGGGCAGTGAAAATATTCTGTATAATACTATAATGGTGGATACATGCCATTATACATTTGTTCAAACCCACAGAATGTACAACAGCAAGAGTGAACCCTAATGTAAACTATGGATTTCTCATGATTATGATGTGTCAATATAGGTTCATCAACAGTAACAGATATACCACTCTGGTGGGGGATGTTGATAATAAAGGAGCCTATGCATGTGTGGGGACAGGAGTATATGGGAAATCCCTGTACCTTCCTTTCAATTTTGTTATGATCCTAAACTGCTCTAAAAGTCAAGTCTTTAAAAAAAATAAAGAAACGAATACATACTCTATGATTCTATTTATATAAAATGCAAACCCCTCTATACTGACAAAAGAAAATCAGTGGTTGACCGGGGCTGGGGGAGAAATAAACTACCAAGGATAAGGGATTTTATGGGTGACAGATATGTTCTGTATCTTGTGATGGGCATACATAACTAAAAATGTACCTAACGGTACACCTTAAATGGAAGAGATCATTTACTAAAGTATTCCTTTAAGGACCTGATTAAAAAAAATTCAAAGTAACCAGACATTTGATATGTAGTGTATAATTAGGCATAAATAAAAGTCATGAAAATTATAGCAAATTCGTTTTTTGGAGTTGGGGGTCTTACTCTGTCACCCAGGTTAGAGTGCAGTGACTCAATTACAGCTCACGGCAGCCTTGACCTACTGGACGCAGGTGATCCTTTTGCCTCAGCCTCTCAAGTAGCTAGGACTACAGGCATGTATCACCATACCAGGCTAATTTTTTGATTTATAGAGGCGAAGTCTCTCTATGTTGTCCAGGTTGGTCTTGAACTCCAGGGCTCAAGCAAACCTTCTGCTTTGGCCTCCCAAAGTGCCAGGATTATAGAAATGAGTGCCCAGCCAATAGCAATTTTTAGAGGAATAAAACAAAATTCTAGTTGCCCTCTTTTGTTTGATTAGCTCTCAGTATCTCCGGTCACAGTCAATTATTTTTCTCAGATACTATGTACTGGTAAAGACCTCACTTCTACTCTCCTTTACTCCACCCCCATGGTATCCAATCCCTCCTATCCATTCCTAACCACCTCTATGGGGTGGATGGGAGGGGGAGACAATGTTACCATATAAACTTCAATTAACCCTGAATGTCCTGGATGCAAGTAATTCTGAACCACAGTCATTTCATATTAGGAAAAAGGAAAGGCAGGACAGTCTTCTCATTTTGTCTTCATGTTTGTATTCTCTTTGCCTGTAATTCTGTTATATTTATCACTCTGTTCTGTAATAACTGACATTTTACTTTGTTTCTGTTTTAGGCTGGTAAACTACATCTCCATGGTCTCAGATCCTATCTAGCAGATCTGCAAGTGTTCAGTGAATGTTCTCCCTTCCCCTTCATCTTGAATTACAGAAATGCTAACCAAACCACAAAGATGATGCTATAAGAAGGTCTTTCAAGAACCAGCCTAAATGCCAGTTCCTCCCTGAAGCTGTTCTTAATGCTTTTATTGGAATGTCTCACAATTTTCCTACCAATGCTAGAACCTGTCATATTATTTCTTTTCCCCAATGTGCTTTGGAGTGAGACCTGAGATCAAATCAAAGTCCTGCCATTTACCTTCAATCTTAGGCAAATTACTAAATCTCTTTAACAACAATGACATCAATAACTACACAACGAATATTTACCAGACACTGTTCTGAAAGCTTTATATGAATTAACTCATTCAATCTTCATAACAACCCTATGCTTGCATAAAATTGTGAATATACTCAATATCACCTAAGAATACAATTAAAAATGGTTAAAATGAGCCAGGCATGGTGGCTCACGCCAGCACTTTGGGAGGCAGAGGCAAGAGGATTGCCTGAACCTTGGGGTTCGAGACCAGCCTGGGCAACTTGGCAAGACCTCATCTCTACAATAAATCAAAAAAGTAGCCAGGTATGATTATGCACACTGTAGTTCCAGCTACTTGGAAGGTTGAGGTGGAAGGATCGCCTGAGCCCAGCAGCTCAAGGCTGCAGTGGCCAGGAGTATGCCACTTCACTCCAGGTTGGGTGACAGAGTGAGACTCCAACTTAAAAAAAAAAAAAAGGTTAAAATGGCAAATTTTGTGTTATATATATTTACCACAGTAAAAATAAAGGTAGGCCCAAAGAGGTTAAGTAATGTCCTCAAAGTCACACAGTAAGTAGCAGAGAGACTAATTTTAGAATCCATACTTTTAACATCTATAAGGTATTGCTTCTCACAAAGTTTCATTTTCTTCATATGCACAATAGGAATTACATTACCAACCTCACCGGTATATAAAGTGCTTCACTCATAGCAAGAACTCAAGTTATTGTTTTGCCTTAGTCCTTTTGTACACATTTATGCTACTTGAAGGCTGAGTCTGTCTTATCTTTGCAGTTATTCCCTAGTTATACCAAGCTAGCATAGAGTGCAATAAATAGCAGACCCAAATATCTTTTCTTAGAGAAAATGTAGCACCTAGAAATCCAAACATGGATGCAAAAGACATACAAGCAAGGACGTGAAGTGCTATTCTAAAGGCATTAACGCTTTGTGCAATTTGGAAATAATGATCAATTCTGACTGAGGAAATTGGTAAACATATCTAACAGGAAGTGACACTGAGCTAGCTAAGGTCTCAAGGCAAGTAAGGGGAGGTTGTGTATCTACTTCCCTAAGTAACAATTAGAAACAGTACAAAATATAAGTCCAAGGAAACAAATCTTTAATAGTGGCATCAAGATCATCATAACAGTAGAATACTGTTTTTTAAAAGTCCGATGCAAGCAAAACTAGACTCTACAGACACACTTGGTGCAGAAGACAAAAAGGAGCAATCTTTTCTAATGACCAAATAATTACAACAGTATTCTCAGTACCATTCGGCATATAGTCTAGATCAAGGCAGAGTAGGGTTTAAGGACAAAATCACGAGACCTAACTTTCAAGATCCCTGTTCCACTGATAATGGACGGTAAAACCATAGATTTTAAGGGCAGCCACTGCTAAGTGGACTCAAGGGCAAGTTGTGTTAACTGCTCCAACTCCGAGTTCAGAGCAGTCCAAGTTAAAGTTGGTGCAGTTCGTTATGGACAGGCTGTACTAGGAGGGTTGTAAGGAACTGAAAGCAGAAAAATGGCTTTTGTGGGACCTACAATCGCCTTCCCGAACGTCCCAGAAGTCGGAGAAGCGGTGAACTAAACCTAGTCTCCCGACTCCATGCGGAGTCGCCCCGATTGGAAAAATAAGTACGCCGCCCACAATATCTAAAACAATAAGTAACCTCAACTCCCACTTACAAAACGCCCTAAGGTTTCCATGTGCTCCCCACCTCCTAGGGAGGAATGGGACGCGAAGACACCACTTCCCGCTCCGCCCCAAATAGGTCTTGAATTAGATGGGGGCTAAAAACAGGGGACGGACAAAGCGGCTTCTGGCCACTGACTCCAAAGCAAAGGAATGATCCGGGCATCAGTCCCGCTCAGGCCCGTACACCCGGGCTCTGGGGCCCGCCGTGCCCGCAGCAGCGGCCTCCAAGGAACAAGGGGATTCAGGAGAAACAGAAGGCGTCCAAGCTTACCTGCCGCTTGTTCATCCGCCGCACATCGTCCAAAAAGTCTAGAGACAGCATCGCGGGGACGGAGAACAGCACACCGGTGGGAGCAAGGACACGAGATGACCAACGCACGGAACGGCTGGCGCACAGGCCGGACTCGCGCTGGACAGGACCTCGCAGTGCCTACACTTCCGCTTCCGGGGCGGGAGCCGGCGCGGCCCCGCCCCCTTCCTAAACAGCAAAGAGCAGACAAAGGGACTCGCGACCCTCCTAGTCCATCCTCAGGGCCTGGTCTCGCCGCAAGAGGCCTCTCCTGCTCTGGCCCTCGCCTGCCGAGAACCGACTAGAGCCCGCTTCCCGCGCTCAGTCCGGCGGACCCCTCATGGAGGCGGTGACCGGGGTCAGAGGAGGAGGCCGCCCTGCCACCTTCGGAAGGCGGGCTCTCGTGCGCACCTGGCCAATCGGGAGTAGCCTCTCCGGTGTGGGCGGGCATAAACGAGTCCTGCGCCGGTTGTGAGTCTGGGTGTGGTCGTGGACGTGTGGTCTGGCTCTGCGTTCACGGGTCGAGCTCTTCTCCCGCCCTACGGGAAACTGACGAGGTGCCGTCGCGGAAGGGTGGACAAGATGAGAGACTCTCAAAGCACTGCCTGAACCTTCCCGGAGTTTACAGTCTGGTTGGAGTGGGAACAGTCCATTTAGAAGGCAACCAAACAGTGCAGCCGTGTGATGAGACCGCCCGTGGTACAGGCCGTCAGGAAGTCTCTTCCTCCCCGACCTTGATTTTGCCAACGGGATTTGGCTTTCTCTCCCTGAACACTATCGCCTACTTTTCTTGGCTCAGGCACCTTGAGGTGACCCTCTTCTCACTATCTTCTATCTCCTCGCCGTATATCTTTTGCTTTGACTGACTGAAGTGCCTAATACACTTCAGTCAACGAGGACTAAAGCTGGATCCCTTGCTATTACTTCTCTCTCTCTCTTTTTTTTGAATTGGAGTCTCACTCTGTTGCCCAGACTGGAATGCTGTGGCACACTCACGGCCACCCCAGCGTCGACTCGCTGGACTCCGGGGATCCTTCCACCTCAGTCTTCCGAGTAGCCGGAACTACAGACGCGCGCTACCACGCCCGGCTAATTTTTGATTTATTGTAGAGACGAGGCCTCACCAAGTTGCCCGGATGGGTCTCGAACCCACGGGCTCAGGCCATCCACTTGCCTCGGCCTCCCAAAGTGCTGGAATTACAGGCTGAGCCACCGAGCCCGGCCTATTTCTCTCTTTTTCAGTATGTTCGTTATATCTCATTAGGTGAAGCTGAATGACAGAAATTCTGGAACTCTGTATACATCCTTGAAATTCTTTAAATCGAAAGTTATTCCAAAATTTTAAAGTTTAAAAAAAAATTGTAAGATGAATGTAGTAAGACAAAAAAAGATAATGATAAGTTTGGGAGAAGATGTGGGAAATTGGAACTATTTGTTTTATTTATTTATTTATTTATTTATTTATTTATTTATTTTAGTTTTGAGTCAGACTCTCACTCTGTTGCCCAGGCTGGAATGCCGTGGCATGCTCATGACTCACTGCAGCCTTGGATTCCTGGACTCAGACTCCTTATGCCTAAGCCTCCCAAGTAACTGGGACTACAGGCATGCACCACCCTGGGTGGTTTTTTTTGTTTGTTTGTTTTTGTTTTTTTGGTAGAGACGAGGTCTTGCTATGTTGCCCAGGCTGGTCTCAAATCCTGGGCTCTAGCAGTCCTCTCACCTTCGCCTCCCTAAGTGCTGGGATTACAGATGTGAACTACCACTCTCTTATACTGCTGATAAGAATGTAAAATGGTGCACTTTGGAAAATAGCAACAGTTTCTCAAATGGTTAAATACATTTGATAATATGCTGGTTACCATATTAACCAGCAGTTCCACTGTTAGGTGTATCCTCAAGAGAATTGAAAGCCTTTGCAGACACAAAACTTGTACACAAATGTTCATATCAGCATTATTCATAATAGCCAAAAAGTCAAAGTAACTCAAATGTTCATCCACTAATGAGGAGATGGACAAAATGTGGTATATTGGAATAATGTATTAATCATTCCATTGGTACAGTGGAATATTATTTGGCAATAAAAAATGACATGGATGAACCTTGAAACAGTAGGTTTAGTGAAAGAAGCTGGTCACAGAAGGCTAAGTATTATATGATAGGCAAATTCATAGAGACTGAAAACTGGTTGCCTGGGTCTGGAGAAAATGGGGAGTGACTGCTAATATGCATGGGGCTACTTTGGGGGAATGATAGTTGTACAACTATGTGAATATACTAAAAACCATTGAATTGCACACTTTATTTTTTTTTTTGAGTTGGAGTTTCACTCTGTTGCCCAGGCTGGAGTACAGTGGCATGCTCACAGCCACTGCAGTCTCAACCTGCTGGGCTCCCTTACTCCATTTACTCTTTTTGACTTCAATGAGTCCTTCAGTCACCTGACTGTGCAATTTTCTCCCAATTTATCGTCATCCTTCCAATGGGTGATCCCTGAACCAGTGATCTAAAAGGTGGCCTACAGACTGTTTTATTGGGATGAAAAACTTTTATTCATATCTATTGCAAAAAAAATTTTTTTTTCACCCTGGGTAATATAGCGAGACCTCATCTCTGCAAAAAATTAGTCAGGTGTGTTGGCGCATACCTGTAGTCCCAGCTACTTGTGAGGCTGAGGCAGAAGGATCCCCTGAGCCTAGGAAGTCAAGGCTGCAGTGAGCTGTGATCATGCCACTCCACTCCAGCCTCAATGAGTCATGGCCTTGCTCTGTTACCCATTCTGGAGTGCATGACATGATCATAGCTCATCACAGCTTCAACCTCGGGCTCAGGCGATCCTTCCACCTCAGCCTCCTGAGTAACTGGGACTACAGGGGTACACCACTAGTATTTTTAAAAGTTGGGTTCTTATTGTGTTGTCCAGGCTGGTCTCGAGCTTCTGGCCTCAAGCAATCTTCCCACCTTGGTCTCCCAAAGTGCCGGAATTTACAAGCATGAGCCACCATACTCCCTATTTCCAAATTTTAAATGTCAGGTCACTTATGATTTTCTCAGACATGTTACACTCTCAATAGTCATTTTTCTCCTAAAGTTTGGGTTGTTTGCCTCTGTAGTTTGTATCAGCTAAGAAGCTAAGTCCAACCAATATTCAGTTAATAGGACGTAGTTAATCTAAACTAACGCATTGTTTCATATGTGTGTTTATGTGCTAAATTTGAAATTTTGGGCCAAGCATGGTGGCTCATGCCTGTAATCCCAACACTTTGGGAAGCCAAGGCAGAAGGATCACTTGAGACCAGGAGTTTGAGACTAACCTGGGCAACATAGCAAGACCTCATCTCTACAATCAATCAATCAATTAATCAATTTGAAATTTCACTTTAATTCATTCTATCCTGTATACACAAAAATGAGGTCAGACATGGAGGCTCACGCCTATAATCCCAGCATTTTGGAAGCTGAGGCAGGATTACTCAAGCCCATGAGTTCAAGGCTGTGGTCAGCCATGATTGTGCCATTGCACTCCAATCTGGGCAACAGAATGAGATCCCAACAACAACAAAAAAGGATCAGTAAGGCAAACTAGCTAGTTGAAAGTTAACTAAATCAGATATTGAGTACTTTTAAACTTAGAAAAAAAAGTTGTGAGTAAAACATTGACCAGGAACCCAATGCAAATAAATATACAAGGTAAATCTGACTGTACTAAGGCTGGATAATCCACAAATGTGATATTTTCTGATAAGCAGCTGAAAAAGAAAAGTGCTAGTGGAAAATACAATGAGTCTCTGAGAAGTAAGTTTTATTGAACTGGTGATTTATTTGCCCTTGGTTCCCTGTACATTATGTTATGAAACTTGGTCAAATAGTGGCATAAAGCCAATGACGTTTTAGTGCCAACTGGCAGCCAATTTGGTAATCCAAATAAACTTTTCTAGGGGGAAAAAAGCACAATATAATGCTTCCTAATATAACATTGATAAAATTTCTCCCTGAGGATAAGAAAAATTATCAAAGCTATAAAGGCATCCTTTAAAATTGCACTTTCACAGCCAAAATAGCGACAGGTCACATCCTTGCCAAGAAGCTTTTAAAGCCACTGGCAATGTTCATGATAAATATGCTTGGTAAAAAAGCTAAACAACATTTTGGCAAAATTCCTGTACCAAAAGATACTGTTGCAAAAAGAGAAAGATACTGTTGGGCATTGCATAACATCAGTGACATACAAAGTAGACAAATACTTTGTCTAGAGTTGCCAGGAACTCCTGGAGAAAGTCATTCAACTGTGCTAGGCACTAGAACCCATCTCACCATGTCTCCTCATTTTCATTGATCTGCTGAATTAGTTATCTATTTCTGCATGACAAATTACTCCAAAATTTAGCAACATAAAAAATAAACATTATCTAAAAGTTTCTGTGGGTCAGAAATTTGGGGTCATCATAACTGGATGGTTCTGGCTCAAGGTCTCTCATGAAGTTGTAGCCAAGCTGTCCAGAGGAAATGAAGTCTCATCTGAAGGCTTAAGTGGGGGAGGATCTGCATCCAAGCTCCACTCTTGGTTGTTGGCAGGTCTCCATTCTTCCTAGGCTGTTGGATTGAAGCCTTATTTCGTGATTGGCTGCTGACCAAGCTGGTCTCCCTCAGTTTGTCACCATGTGAACCTCTCTATAGGGCAGCTTACAACATGACAGCTGGCTTCCACTAGAGTGAATGTTCCAAAAGACAGAGAGTCAGCCCAAGTTGGGTGAACAACTTGTCCTGATTTGCCTAGAACCTTCCCAGCATTTGCCCTGAAAGGTCCACATCCCAGGAAACCCATCAGTCCCAAATAAACCAGGATAGTTGGTTATCCTATCAAGACAAAAGTCACAGCTTTTTATAACTTAAACTTGAAAGTAATATATATCATTTATTCTATATTATTTTTGTTAGAAACAAGTCCAGTACAATTTCAAAAGAAAGGGGCTGGATGTGGTGGCTCATACCTGTGATCTCAATGCTTTGGGAGGCTAAGGTAGGAAGATCTCTTGAGCCCAGCAGTTTGAGGTTACAGTGAGCTATGATCACGCAACAGCACTCCAGCTTAGGCAACAGAGTCAGACCCTGTCTCCGAAAATAAATAAATAGGCTGGATGTGGTGGCTAATGCCTGTATTCCCAGCACTTTGGGAGGTTGAGGGGGGCGGATTGCTTGAGCCCCGGAGTTTGAAACCAGTCTGGGCAACATGGAGAAATCTCGTCTCTACAAAAAATTATTTATTTATTTATTTATTATTTTTTGAGTTGGAGTCTCACTCTGTCACCCAGGTTGGAGTGCAGTGGCATGCTCATGACCACCGCAGCCTCCACCTGCTGGACTCCAGTGATCCTTCTATCTCAGTCTTCCAAGTA